TATGGATATATATACTATCTATGGCAAAATTAATTAGATTTCCAATAATAATATAAAATAATGAAGCGATCTGGTCATGAGTACTAGTTCCTACATTACTTCACTGGATAACCTAGGCAACTCAACTTTATGGGTCTTAGGTTCCTCATGTAGAAAATGACTACAATGGCTCCTTTCTAGTGCAATTGTTTTACAATTTATATGTTCAATAATTACTGAAAACAATGTTTTCCAAATAGCTTAACTCTATTAAACAATGCAACAGTACTGAAGACTATACTGAGAGGTTCACAGCCCTAGCACATGCATCTATGCATCAATATTTACTAAATTTCCATGAGGATAACTGCCAATCTTCAAATTTACTGTGATACTTAAGAATCCAAAATGTCACTGAACAGTTTTTAATGGAATAGTTTTAAAAGTTTAGTTACTAAAATAAATGCTTAACTCTAAATTCTAAAGATTTGACAGTAATATCCAAATGTTTCAAATGCAAAATAATATAAATTACCATATATCAATATAAAAGCCTATAGTATAGGCATTATACTTTCTCCTATCAGGATTGTTAGGGGTTTCTATTATATAAAACATGAAAGTGAAAATAACCTTTTTCTCTTAGCTTATTTCAACACTGTCATTAGTACTTTAAAAATAACATTTTCTAAAAGCAATATATGTTTCACTGTAAACAGTTTTAAAAACATGGGCAAGGAAAAACAAAAAAATTCCATAATTCTACCATCCAAAGGTAACCAATGAAAATATCCTGGTATAAATATACAGGCACCATCTATAAAATATATGCTTGCAGAATGGAGAACTGACATATTCTATTTTATAATTTTTCTTACTTAACATATTTGAACTTTCCCAAAATTATTAAATAGCAGTCTAAAGTAAATAATTAATTATTCCCTACTACTTTAAGTATAATAGTAAAAAAAAAAAATCTATTAGAAAAGCATTAGTGACCACCAGTATGTATGCTGATGACTGTTACCAGACTTTTATCCCTACCACTTGAAAGATATTTAGGAGCAAGGCTCATCTTAAGACCAGCTAACCTCCCCTTCAAAATAAAATGCATGGCATTTCTAAAAGGCTTCTGATCCCAGAGTTAAAGATTCTGTTAACATTAAGTAAAATTCCATTCCAGATATTACCATTCCCTTCAGGCTCTCCTGGGTTGCTTTCTAGCTTGTCTTAGAAAAATAAGAAAGTGTATTAAGGTAATGGGTTTGTTCTGTTACTTGTTGGATTGGTCTCATTTGTGTGTTTTAGTATTGAAATTGTCTTAAAACTGTAGAACATCCAGATAGATGTCATTCTGATGGGCGCTATATAAACTGTGAAATAAATATATTTACAGATTCTAACTGGAAGGCAACACAAACTAAAATGAAAGGAAAACTAATGATGCCGTAGTTGTTATATACACAGGTTGTTTAACACAGGTTTAGAATCTGCTTTATAAGGTAGACCATAAATTACAGACTATAAGGTAGGATTAAAAAATACAAACTAGACTGGTATAGAAAAAAACAGGTTTTTAATATTGATTACAGTCGATTTTTAAGGTTAAAAAGCAGTGCTTTAATTTTAAAAAAGAAATTTGCAACAGGTGGTGGGTGACTTGCAATTAGTAAAAACTTCTGGCAGAAACATACCATGTAGTAATCACAATGATCTTGGCTTGTGAGATGCTACTTAACCTTTTGCAAAAAATAATGAAGCAGTATGATGCTACGGGAGTTTATAAGAAAGGTCATTATCACAGGCTAAACAGGTCCAATAATATATTCTCTTGGAACATGCAAGTACAGGCTTGTCTGTACCCAATCAAAATCACTGGTAGCTTATTTCATACTCATTATACTTTACAGTTTTACTTGACTTGTAAATTTTTTTTTCAAATCAACACACCTCAATTCTTTAAAACAAAACACTTCACTCTGATGAAGATTTCAGATGAGTGACTGCCACAAAATTAAGCATTTAAAAGTATAAAGTTATCAAAGTGTAACCAAGGCTTAACCATGGTTAACCATCAAAGCCACAACTCTCCAAAGACAACCTCAGAACAGAGCAAGGTTTCAGAAGGGGAGCAGCAATAGCTACTATAATGTCTTTGTTTTATGTATTCTATTTAACCAACAATGGTTATGTCTGTCCTTTTAATTAGTCTTTAGAGAAGTAATTAACTAGATAGACACAGACTGTGGTGTATTTAAAAACACATTTAAAATAATTTTTGCAGACAATAAAGATCTGTATAAAAACACTGTGGCATGTGAATGATACAAAGAAAACATTAATCACTCAAGAGGCTATTAAGTGTCTGAATACCAATAACTGCAATAATGGTAATTAATATCACAATAAAAAAACAAGATATAAACTCTCGTCACAAGTAACAAACATATGGATGACTTTTATAGAATTTATTTTAAAGGTGGGTTTTTTAAAAAAGACAATTTTAAGTATATTTAAGAATTATACCCAGGGATATCTTAAAATATATAGCAACTCCTCCATTGTTTTCTGCTACGAAAAATATCTACTAATCAAGCAATAATAGTATTTATGCCCTTCACCTGAAACTCCTATTGGTCCTTTTCTATAATGTTAACTATGCAAAGCCAGAAGGCTTTTAAGATAAAGGATCTACTATGTTCCCAAAAAGGGTGTCCTCAAATATGATAGGAAAACTTAAAGACCCCCATTAAAAATTGACTCAAATATGAGCAAATCTAACTTCTGCAATATTTCCACAATTTTTTTAAAACAAAAGAAAAATTAATTGTAAGCACATTAAAATGCTAAGAATTAGAACTTAAAAAGACTGTAAGAGGCTTTTAAAATACAAAACAGAGTTTTAACACATTATCAAATATAGGCAATACCTGGATAGATGGCTTGTTTAAGTGACCCAGATTTGAAGTTGTTTGTCTTGGTTCATGTCCTAAGACCATCATATTAGCATTGATCAATCTGAAGGCATCAATAACAACCTGTAAAAACAAGGTGTCAAATCAATTCTTTTTTAAAAGCAAGTGATAATGCCAAGCAACAGTGGACAAGGCATGATCAACTTGCATCTGTTTCTGGACTATTTCCAGAAAATCATTTAATTATAATATTAATAAAAAAGAACCTCCTGCTGACTGTGCCATCAGCACACCACCCTCTATCTTGTAATATAAGGTGACACCAATTATTGCAATTTTCATGAAGCAGTAAAGACAAAAATTAACTTTGCATCTTTATTATTGAAATATGTCATTACTAAACTTACACCAAACAGCCTTCACTGGTGTGCATATGTTTGTCACCAGAATTTTACCTAATCAAAATGAATGACAGAGAAACTAAAACTGAAAGTGAGCACAAGTTAAGGGACCACATCTAAAGCCCAGCCCTGTCACATCAATTACACCACCACAGTACTTGAAATGACAACAAAATTACGGCCAGCAAGGCACTTGCCCACGTATTCTCTTCTAGTCAGATACCTTTTACTTCTTGTGACTATGAAAGACTTTATACCTTGTCTGACGGCCTTAAATGTCCAAGCCACTGTCAAGCATAGAAGGCACAATAAGAAAACCAAGGTCATCCATGCTTTAAGCCAAGAACATGGTATGGAATGATATGGTCCTAATTCATAGTAAAGAAATTACAATAGGTATCTTCTTCTTTTTGTGTGTACAGAAATACTTCAAGTTCTTCTATGATACAATAACATCTGTTAGCTCTTACAGATAAAGAGATTATCAAGAATCACATACTTGCTAAAGCTTTTCAACATTGTAAGGTTTTATGTAAAGTCATGTGACTTTAAGACAGATTTCTGCTTTAAGGGAATTTAACTCAATAGATTTATCACATAAAACAATCTTAAAGCAAGATAATATAGTAAGTAATAGAGTATTTCTACATTTTGCCTTTAAAAGTGCTGAATAATTAATATTTATCAATGTTTTAAAAGCTTTGTCAACTACATTTGTTCTTATTTGTACAATTATTATTTGAGGATACTAAGAGATTAAAAATAGTTAAGCCAACTAAATCTAATCAAGTCTGAAAATTCTGTGTGTAATAAGTATTACTGCATGCTGTTCACTAAAGAACAAGATTTAAAGAAAGAAAGAAAAATCACCATTTGTAAAAGTGTGCTATGATGGATCCAAAGACAGTAACAAAAATTACAAACCTAGACTAAAACATTGTGACAAGTGAATCAATCTAAGCTTCTGTCTACTCATTCGGCCTACCATATCAACTCTGAATTTTGCTTTTATTTCAAACAGTTAACATTTTCCCAAAGATTCATTCCTCTTGTCTCAAAATAAAGTGAAGCATCCCCAGAACATGCATGATTTAATAGTTTGTGAAAACTTTTTTCTTTTTATACAATAACCTTAATCCATACTTAACTTTCACACTTACTTATAAATATATATGGCCTACATTGCTTATACTTAAAATTTTTGTAAACATATTCTCTTTTTTCAAAAAGCAATAATAAAAACAAGTACTAATAACAGACATACTTTAATCAGATGTTATCACAAATAACTTCAAACAATTGTTAAAAAATATAGAAGTAAAATGTTCTCACACTTGTACTAAAGAACATAAAATAAGGTAAAGTTAAAATGTTGGCAAAGGAGGAAGAAGGTGACCATTTTCAAAGATAGGCATATAATTTAAATACAAAATTAAGAATTGCCACCATAACCATTAATGGTAAATATTTAAGAGCAAAGCATCATTTTGGTCCACTTCAAGATTTCAGTAAAATCATTTGTGAGGGGGAGAAAAAGTTGCTACAAAACTATGAAAATTTCATTATGTATCACAACGAAATTCCTATATACTTGTTTATACTGAATGCTTTCAAACTAAAACGGCAGATAGCTATTTTACTTCTAGAAGTCTGTATTATTTATCTGAAATATTATAAGCAGGTGTGAAATTTCATTAAAAGGAAATGAAAATACCAGTTAAGTAGATATCATGATCTGAAAATTTTTAAGTTTTCTTAAATTAAGAGAAAAATTCAAGAACTTAATAAAATGACATGCTTTCATTGGCAATTCCTGAGTACCAGTGATAGCCTATAGAAAATGACTATTTACACTAAGATTAAAGGAATTTGCTGCCATCACTATAGTAACTGTCTTAAGGAAACTAACATGTTCAACAACCTGCAGACCAAAATTAGATTTAGTATGCAATAAAATGTAAACATGGCGATACAGTCTACATTTTAATTTTTGTATAATTTTATAATTGCTTTTTACACTGTGAAAATCAGTGGATTTCTCCTTTAGAGCAACCTATCAAAATAGACTCATTAATGTCCAGTGCACTAATGAGCAATGGGTGAAGAAGGTGTTAATTATGCCACAGTAAGATTAAAAAAAATAAGCCCTAGTGAGCACTCAATGATGTGTATAAGTTGAAAGCGTTTCTCCATGTTTGTGTATTTACAGCATGATGCAATAGAATGACAGCAAAATCGTCACTCCATGGTTAAGAACAGAAATCTTAGATATAACAAACTGAATAAAGAACCCCCAAGAATTAATGAAGGTATGGGTGGGTAGGGGAAATAATCTATTTTTTGGAGCTCTCTGAATTTTCTAAACAGTTCATTTTGAAGTATATATATATTAAATTAGTTCAGTTTATATCTTATAAACTCAAATAATAATTTAATCAAAAACTTTTCACAAAAACTACTTCCTTAATATATAATAGCAAAACCCTCTGAGCTAAAGTATGAAGAATATTTTCAGGAATATGATGCTAGACTTTTAAAAATTCCTTTCCATGCTGAAGGCTTACACACCACATTGAATCTTTATTCACCAGCCTGACCATTTAATTTTTTCTGGTACAAATGCCTTGAGACTTTTCAGAGGTCACTGCAACAGTAGACAGCTTATAACAAAACCATTAGCAGTTTGGCTAGCTTAGGGAAACCTCTTACTTTCCTTTTTTGTTTATTATCACTGCATGAATCTGCAGCATATGATAGTTTATAATTTCTCAGGCTTGTTAAATTCATGTTAAAGGTCTGTTTTCTTGTTGAATAAATTTTGTTCATATAATGCTGCCTATTTCATACACTCAGTCTTTAATAGCACCTTTGGTCTATGCGCAACTCACAGATCAAAACAGAGGACTAAAATAGGGGTTGATGATGCTATTTACATGTGTGATTCCTGCTGTCTTCTTGTTAGTAGCTTTAATATAATAGAAGACCTTGTCTGTTTTGTAATTAACACATCTTTACTGGAGAGATATTTGGAAGTGATTGCTGTGAATATACTGGTTAGTAAAATAAACACAATCACACACCACTTTCTGTTATCAGACAAATTTGTGAATTGTACACATTATACTCCAGATCAACAAACTGTGATATAACAGCCAAGTAGAAGACACATATTTATATAACCCTTTATTTTTCTGAAAATATGTATTCACTCTGACCTTGCAAATATAATTAGCTTGTGGGATGTGCAGATTTCAGTACCATGGTTGCTTTACTAATTGCAACTCTTGGAAATAGATACTAAATATTTGGAAGCTGCCAATACAAAATAAAAACTGCATGTTTTTTGTACATCTGTCTTAGATTATAAAAGCAAAATAGTTTTAAAAACAATCCTGAGTTCCATATTTATTCCAAGCATGCCCAAGGGTCAAGGATCTATCATTTCATTTTAATGACGAATCTGGTTTATGACTTAAAACTCAGTTTAATCCATTATTTTTTGGCTTCTTTCATGAGTAGGGTACAGTTCATCCAATATGCTATTTATTTTAAAATTCGTGTTTTCATATCAACTGCTAGGTCACTGAAAGACTAGACTAAATTTCTAAAGCACCAATCTATAATTCCCAATTTTTATACCCGAAGGAAGCTATTTTTAAGCAAACTCTTCAAATCAGTTTAATACAAAGGTGTTTTAAAGAAAAATACATATACACTTCTGGCAGAAGCTGTAATATTTCTCTCTTTCTTTTCAGGAGTTGCCTTTGGTCCAATTGCACTTATATTACAGTCAATGACTATGGGTATTTACACAGAGTAGAACTAACATTTTAAGAATTTATAATGTATTTATTTTATTGAGCTTAAAAATGAAACAATCAAAATCTTCCATAATCTCAGGTCAGCTCACTATATATATTGTATATGTGCACCTATATATCATATATAATATTCAGTTCGTCATATATGATGAACTGTAGCTTGCATATATGATGAACTGAAATAATTTTTTAAACTTGAAAAAAATTTAAGACTTCAAAATCAATGTCAAACACTAAAAAGAGAAAAAGTAACAATTCAGTTACTAGTTACATATTTAAAACATACAAAAACCACCCTATATAAAGTAAATCTCTAAATGACTATAAAAACAAAAGTTGTGTAAAGAAAGGCAACACTCAACCCATATCAAATACTCTTTATCACCTAGAAATGACCTGTTATCAACTGCTTAGGTTGTTTCTAGATTCTTTAAAAATTAAGAGCGCACGTGACCTAGGAAGTACTGCTGGGTTTGTGACCATTTCGTTACTTCTGCTGCCATGCACTGCCAGACATCTATAAGAGAAAAACATCTTATGTCTCTTGTAAGCCCACAGCATAAAAAATTCAGAGAAATCTTACTTTTTATGCCATTTCCAATGAAAAGCACTAAGAACTAAAACTGACTCATGCCAAATGCATATCACTGAATTGCTGTGATTTCTTAGTCTCAAGTTTGCAACATGGAAATTATTTATAAAATGTCAATTTTAGCTCTGGAAAAGAAATTCCTATGTGTATGTACATTTTCTTTCTTCATCCTCGGAGAATTGCTTACTGTAGCTAGAGATCTGTAGTACAACTTCAGTATATTGGGAGAAAAGGGGGATGGGGTGTAACTTGCATAATTTACTTTTTTTGACAAGTGAAGACATGCATCAAAATTCAAAGAGTAAATCC